TCTGGTACACTCGAAGTGTACTCTCCCGGTGCTGTCTCTGCTGCTGCTGCTGCTGATGAAAATAATGCTGCTGCTGCTGGTGCTCTTGTTGGTGCAGCGTGCTTGAGGGAGTGGTGGCTGTTGCTGCTGCTGCTGCTGCTACTGCTGTCACTGATGCTACTTTTGCTGCTGCTGCTGCTGCTGCTGCTGCTGCTGTTGCTGCTGCTGCGTTTCAGTTGTTTTGCTTGTCTCCATATTGGTGCTGTATATCGGGTTGCAGTTCGTTGTGGTGCGGCAGCAGCGCTAAGGCAGCAGCAGCAAGGTTGCTGCTGCTGCTGCTGCTGCTGCTGCTGATGCTGCTGCTGCTGATGCTGCTGCTGATGATGATGATGATGATGATGATGATGCTGTTGATGCTGCTGAGCTGCCAGAGGGCAGCAGCAAGAATAGCAGCAGCAGCAACAGCAATAGCAGCAGCAGCAGCAACAATAGCAGCAGCAGCAACAACAGTAGCAGCAGCAGCAGCAGCAGCAGCAGCATCGAAAACAAATGCTGCAGCAGTAACGGCAGTGACAACTGCAGCAGCAACAACACCAGCAGCAGCAGCACAACAACCGCTGCAGCAGCAGCAGCAACAGCCGCTGCTGCACCAGGAATAGCACCAGCTGCAGCAGTAGCAGCAGCAGCACCAGCAGCAAGAGCTGCAAGAGATGCAGCAACAACAGTAATTGCAGCAACAGCAGCAGCAGCTGCAGCAGCTGCAGCAGCAGCAGCAACAGCAGCTGCAGCAGCAGCCAATTCTAGTGTTTGTTTTGTACCTGTTAAATACACAGCCCTGAAGCAGGTGCTGCTGCAGCAGCAGCAGCCACCACAGTTCAGCAGCAGCAGCAGCAGCAGCAGCAGCAACATGCGTGATGCTACTGTTGCTGCTGCTGCTGCTGCTGCTGCTGCTGCTGCTGCTGCTGCTGCTGCTGCTGCTGCTGCTGCAGCAGCAGCAAAGTTTTTCTGTGGGGGGATGGTCACCCCTAAGAGACACTTCAGTTTATAAA